TACACATGATCATTGAGTTTCACATAACACATAATCATTGAACTCTGCATATCACATAATCATTAAACTTCTCATAATACACAATCATTGAACCCCATTCATACAAGGATCATTGAACTCCTTATACGTATAATCATTGATTTTCGAATATTTAATACCACATTTGCATTTCAATAATTTCACATATCTCAATTATAATGTTGAAATCAATAAATTAATCGATGTATAAAAGTGCAAGAAAGAATTCTCTCGGTTACTTCAAACCTTTAAGAGGTCAAATGTTTATCCTTCAATTACTCACTCTTAAAGCTTTCACAAAGCTTGAATGGTATCAAATGAGATTACTCTACATTTAATCACAATATAGATTATCAACATCCTTTTTGGATAAGTTTTAATGTCCATCACTACACTTTCAAAACTTACAAATAGGATAATCTCTCCCTTTTAGGCTTAGCTATTGGGTTCATTAACTCCTATTATGTCACAATAACTTCATTGAGCTCCTAAACAACCATTAATAACATTTTTTAACTCTTATCTACAACATTAATGGTGGTTTTTCGGGCATTAATGGTTATGAACTATCAAAAACACATTCATTCCTAGGATTTAAAGTACCTAAACAACTCCCATTAATGGGTTCGAACACCTTTATGAATCAAAAATTATCTTTCTCAACCAAACTCTAACTTCTAACATCAAGAAAATGCGAGATGGAAAAGAGATTTAAGCTTAGAGAAATTATCTCTAGTGTTTAAAAGCTTCAAAATAAGGTAAACATTTTTTGAACAGCTCATAACTCAAGCCCTAGCAAAGCTCCTTGTGTCTCCTTCATGTAACTCTTGTTTTCTCTCTATTTTTTTGTCTATTTGTGTGACTTAATTCTACAAAATTTATACTGTGCATTGCGGCAAGTGACACATAGAAGGGTCTTCATGCTCTAGTGGCCCTTACGCCGCAACATGCGGCACAGAGCCATTTCTCCTTATTTTTCTCACTTTTTTATGCTCAGGTGACTTGACCTCACTCTGGACTCAATCCTAAGGCTATAATCATAACTCATAACACCTGTTTGACCTCTGTAACCACATATCATAGTAATTTACTTAATTAACTTCTTTTATTCAACTAATTAGAAATTAAATTCGCCAAGATGTTACACTCAAAGTTTTTAACCAAAATAATTTCTTAGCTAAACATTTTTCAAGTTACTCATTACTGATACCAAAAGCACCTAAACATTCGCATGAATTCGTCCAAAATTAGCAAAATCACTCAAACTTGTGATTTAACTTCATAATCAATCTCTAACTAGCATTTTTAAGTTACCTACGACCAATTATCCAAGTTTCAAATAATAAACAACTCTAAAAGTCAAAATAATTCTTTTTATACCCAGGACTCAATCTTAACATACTCATATGTAAAAATTTAACCTTATTCAACAAGCTAAACTAATAAAATTTAAATATTCACTTATCTTAACAGTCTTTCAATTCTTGATCGGCAAAACTCAATACTTGTTTTGAATCCTAATCTTTAAATTTGATCGACTGCCCTCAATATTTATATTATTAGAAAGCTCTCATCATGTATGACAATTCTCATGGCGAGAGTTTTATGATTTGGAGAGGTTACAAGTACAAAATGAAGCATAGAAGATCTTGAAAATGCTGGAAGAAGATGAGGCAGCAGGAATAATGAAACGGAAACGGGGAGGTGACGGAGCAATATAATAAGTGGATCCTGCCATTTTTTGCACTTCTTCTTTTTTCATTTTCATTTTTTTAATTTATCGTTTTTTAATATATAATTCTTACATAATTTTAAAAATAATATTTAATGACTTCATAAATAATCAAATCATCTTTTTTTAAATTTTCTATCATTTCTTAATGCTATCCTAAAACTCAAAGGAGTAAACTTAACTTGTAAACATAACTCTCAATATTTAGATGATTAAAAATCTTTTTCAGTAGAAAAAAATTATATTTTTAATCCCACTAAACCTTATTATTACTATTACTACTATTATTACAATTATTTTTTTAAAATCATGACTGGTACTAATTTTAAAATTATAACTACTGGTAAATTCCATTATCTCAATTCCAGTCCAAATCAAAAATATCTTTTACATTTGCTACTTTCATTTATCTAATAAATCAATTTCTAGCATCACTTAAATTTTAAAGTCAAAATTGGTCCCTGACCATCGAAGCTAGGCGATAACTTGGTGGTTCTCTGTTGGATGGTTCATAATTTTTCACAAATAAAAGCTAAAGCACCATGGAGCAAGTACTTCGACGTTGAAGGTTATGATTGCCGTCTCTTAATACACCCCAAGGGTGACTCTCAATTCTTGCCAGGCTTTATCTCCATCCACCTCTAAATCACGGACCCTCGGGGCACTTCCTCATCCAAATGGGACTATTTTGCGAGGTATTGTTTGACCGACGATTCTTAGACCGTTCATTAGGCTTCATGGCTATCGAGTTTACGTGTGCTAGAAAGTGAGTCTCGCTAGTTTCAATTAACGGACAGTCATAAGTTTTTAACATTAGGTGATGTTGCTCCATTTTATTTAGTCTAGGGCTGGCATTGTTAAAATGAATAGTTTAAAAATAAAATGCTCCTTCACACATAGTTTGACGACAAAAAGATACTTTAGCCTTAACATTTATATTTATATAAATTTGAGATGTTCGGATAAACAGTAATTTACCAAAAATGCTCGCCAATTTTTTTCCTCTTTTTATCTTGTGTATTGTAACACTGTCAGATGATACTGTATATCTACGGATGATATTATATATCTACAGTACCATCCGACTTTTTCTTTTTTTTAAAAAAAAAATTTGTTACGAATATAACGTTCTCTTTCTTTCATTTTTTTTAAATTTTTTCAGATGGGTATGGTACATACGAAACCTATACTTAAAAATGAGAAAAATAGTTTATCTATTTTTATCTTAATTAATGATAACTCTCTTCTGTTTTTTAAAATCTATATGAACATTTTTTAGTATGGATAGTTATAAAATACAAGCCCTTTTTTTATTTTTAAGATTTTATTTCCATCCATCTAACCATTAGTTAACCATTAAATTACATTTGTTGGACTAAAATAGTCTCATTTAAATATAAATGTTGTTCAAAAATTATTTAAATTACCAAAAATTATTTTTTTATTATTTAAATGTATTTATTTTGTAACTTTTTTAAAAAATTAAATATATAAATTTCCTAAAAAAAGATATTCAAAGACACAATTTATGGACTCAATAAAAAAATATTTTTAATAATTTAGAATAGTTAAATCAGTCTAAATAAATATGAAAGTTAAAGGTGTTAAGAGTCAAGTTTGATTATAAATATATATAGATATTTTAAACTCAGTATGATTGAGGCTCTAAGGCTAATGGAGGGAATGTAATATTTTAATAAACTTAAGTTTTAAAAAATTGAAGTAATGGGGTATAAAAAAGTTGTGCGTATGACCTACCATTAAAAAATATAAGTGGGGTATATATTTATAAATTTTAAAAATTTAAACAATGTATAAAAAATAATAAAATTTTTATATTTTGAGAGATCATGTAGAATTTTATACTAAAAATTGATTGTGGATATAAGATTTTTAGTAAAATAATAGGTATTAGATATACAAAGAATTTTTTATATCCTCCCTTTATTAAGAAATGTGAGGCATTTTTTGATGTTGAATGTTAAAAAATATAAGACATTTTTAATCTTTTAAGATGTAGTCATTGCCCTTTTTTTTTAAAGTACCTTATTAAATAAATCACTTTATTTTTATTTTAGGATAAAAAACCCTACTAATAGGGGTAAACATGAACAAAAGGGATTAGTTTGAAGACAAGTAATCATTTTATTGAATGTGAGATTTAGTTAAAAATATCTTATATTTTTTAACAAAGTGAGTATTTATTATTAACACAGGGTAACAAATCAAAATAGTTTATATGAGCATATATAAAACAAGTTTTTGTTTATGCTCTTCAAATGCATAAGGAATAAAAATTTATTATTTTATTATTTATATGTAAAAGTTGATTATGATTTGAACACTAATAAAAACTATTAATGTAATTATATGCCTCAAGTCTGAGTAACAAAAATTATAGAGTACAAATTAATTATATAATATTAATGAATTCATCTTTCACCGCACATTTAATCTTTTTTAATAATTATTGCATTACTTATAGATAAGTGTTTGAAATATTGCTTTAGTAAACTTACTCCCTTTGTTTTTAGGGGTTATCTCTTAAGAGTTGGATGTTAAGCAATATAAAATATTTTTGATATTTAAAGATGTAATTTAAAGATGTAATCATTTCTTAAAAAATATTCATAATAAATAAATTATTTTATAGTTATATTAGTGCGAACCACCCAATTAAATAGTAAATATGAAAAGATGATATTATTTTAAAGGCAAGTAACTATTTTATTAGGGTGATATTAAGTTAAAAATGCTTTATATTTTTAAAAAATAAAGTATGTAATTAATTTTTTAAAAAATACTAAATAAATTTAAAATATAAATAAAAATTTAAAAGAATATATCAAAAATAGTAACTATCATTTAATGATTAGATGGGTGAAAATAAAAACTCAAAAGTAAAAAATATATTTATATTTTATAACTCTAAACTATTAATTTTAAGAGAAATTTGTATAAATTTTAAAAATTAAAAATATTAAATTAAGATAAAATAAAGAGCAAATAATATATTTTAGTTTAAAGATATCAAAATAATTTTTTCATATTTATATTTATTTTTATTCTTAAAAACTAAAATATTTGATATTTTCGTGCATTATATGGGAGATAAATCTAATTTATATTTTATTTTATTATTATATATTTTAATTAATTTTTGAATCAAATTTTGTTAATAAATTTTAATTTTTTCAATTAAATATCTTAACATAACTCACTTTAGACTCACAAACCTTGGTGACTTTTTTTTAATCCAAACACATCCTACCTTCTTCAGCCACACCGGAACGACGGAACCCCAGAAAACATCATCACCGCTATCACCATAGCAAACAGTGCGAATTCCGTGCAAAGCAATCAAAGCGTTCGCTTTCACCGTATCAGCGAGCCCGCGGGAGCACGCAAAATGGAGGAGGAGAAAGCCCCCTTAATTGGAGAAATCGAGGAAGTAGGCACCGATTCCGATACAGCTCAAAGACACGTGCGGACCAAGGTTCCGGAGGTGGAGATCCACCTGTACAGTCTGGGCAAGGGGCCCATTGAAGTTTTCAAGTCGACCCTGGGAGGCTGGGACCAGGACCAATTAGAAGTCCGAAATATCCTCGACAAGTATGGATTTAAATCCATTTACGCTTTCAATCCTCAATCGGGACGCGGCGTTCCCATTCGGTTCAACCCTAGAAACGGCAGATCGATGCTGACTTACAGGGATGGAGGAGTTGTTTACATTGATGGAGAACCAAAGGTGTGTGTATATAACCAATATGTTTAACTTTTCGTGATAGGTAGAGAATTGTTAGTTCATATCATGGTTATAATTGGAAAAGAGGAAGTAATTCAGACGGATTGAGGTTCTATTTCTTTCCCTTATTAGAAGGGTCAAAACTATGTTCTATTCTACGTGGATATAATCTAAATTGGAGGTGGGGGTATAATTTACGCGACATTTTACCTTTCTTTTTTAGATAAGGATGTTTAATTAGTTTGGGCCTCGAGTAATTCCTTAATTTAAAGTATATTTGTTTTTCCTATGTCTGTTCTATATGTTTATAGTGTATTCATTAGGGAGTTATTTCTTGATATTTATGGCTTGTGTAATGGATGAAAATATTCAAGTAGTTTGGTTTTGAGTATTGAACTGTTGAATGTTATTCTTCTGAGGATGTAGAACTATAGAAGTATGGAAGAATTGTACAGCGGCATCGTTGAATGGCACTGTATATAATTGGGAGGGAATTTGTGCCTACTCTAGTCGGAGAGCCAAAATCTAATTCATTTATGAGCCATAAAAAGCCTTATGAAACGTAAAAAGCTATCATTCATTTCGTCAAGGTTTACTGTATTATCTGCCTGTTGACAGTTGGTTAAAGCTTGGATCTTTCTGCTTCATGATTTTGTCTGTTGGGGGAAAAAACAAGGGGGTGAATTGGTGGTTGAATATACTTAGGTGGTAAATATGACTTTCAAGGATCAAAGTTTATTCCTTGAGGGTTGTTTTACTTGCTTAACGTGGAAGGGGGGAGGTTCATTCGCCAAACCATGTTAAGGCTGGTGAGTTGTTCTTGTAGAAACATTAGAACTAGAATACCAGACCAGGGGCTTCCTAGATGATGATTCTCTTAGTTGTTTTCAACGAGTTTCACTTTTGGTTCTCGCAGTGAAAGAGAAACTAACTTACTATCTCCATGAACGCTAGAATTTAACTCATGCCTTTTGTCTGGTGGTTGGCCTAGGGTGGGGATCTATTTACATGAGTGATTGATTTTAGTTTCTAGAAACTAACATTTTGGCATAAGCATGGGTACCTTAGATATTAAATAAATGTTTACGTCCTGAAAGGTTTGAGGAGGTAATATATACACGAGAATAGAAACCTTGCTGAATAATAGCTTGTTTATTATTAAAGATCGGATGTTCTAAAGGATTAAAATTCTCTTCGTAATAGGTGTTTGATGGAAGTAATATATGAGTTAAAACCAAGTAATGGCTTTTCTTCGTTGACAAGGGGGAAAAAAAAGTAATAGCTTTTCTTCTAGTATAACATTTCCTCCCAGAAAGATCGAGCAAAACCAGTCTGATGTGGTCTAGTTTTTAGTAAGAATGAAATGACATTTGATAAGGCTTTGGCAGCAATCATCTATTGATTATGAGGAGTCATGTGACGACAAGGAATAGTATGCCTAGGAATGCTAAAAAATGAACTAGTTGGTTCTGGAGCAATTATGCCCGTTAATGTTATTTTATCATTACCAAGACATACTCTTTTGGTGTTATGCATATAAATGGGTTCACTGACAGTTCTAAGGTAAATAAATGAGCCCTTTTAGATGTGAACTACATTTCTCCAACCCTTGCCTGAACGATTCAATTAAGTACATTGTGATTTAAATAGGTAATCTCTTGTTGGTCTACATATAAGCTTGTGCATCTCACTAGGGGAATCCTCTGAGGGATCAGCTTACTACATTTTCTATATATCTTATTAAGTGAAACATGTGAAAGTTTTTCTCTGTTCCGTGTAATACGACTTGTGTTTAGCTCCTCCAATCCTTTAGAGTCTGGAATAAGTTTTTAAAATTAGCTGGAAAATAAAATTTTTAAAGACATCACTGATCTTTTTTTGATCATTGGGTTCCAAGTCTTGTATCCAGTTTGTAACATGCATAATATGATATATATTATGTGTTAAAATTCTTTCTGCAGGATTCGATTATTAAACCAGTGACCAAGATCTTGATTGGGGTAGTATTAATAACCATGATGATAGTACTGGTTTCGAAGGATACTCCAGAATGGATCAAGAAATTAAACCTTTTCGGTGGAGGCTTTCCTCCATGGATCTTGGCTTGTGCAGTTATTGTTTTCACCCGCATGAGGAAGAGAACCAAACACGTCCTGAAAAAGTTTGGTTGGTGAATGGATGCAGCTCATGCTCCTGTGGTCGAGTTTAATGGATTTCTGTATGCTTTCAGGTTTTTTTGTAAGATGGCATATTTTTTTTTCCATTTAAATACATTTTTTTTTAGAATTGATATGAATAATTATTATTAATAATACTTAATAGCGCGTTCTGGTTATTTGTTTTGTGTATGCTTTTCTACTATTTTTGTATTTGTTTTTCATGCTGTTCGTAAGCATATCTGGTTGGAGTGCAAGGCTATGTTTTGGGGCTTGAAGAACAAATAACCAGAATAATTGAACGCTGAAGTTTTTTCTTTGTTTTTTGGAGGAAAAAAGGGGGGCGGGGGTCCCTTCGACTACGGTTGTACGAAGGAATCTTATCTTAGCTCTCAGTGAAACAGTTGCAAAAGAACTGATAGATTTGTGCACCTGCCGAAGTTAATGTATGGCTACTCCTCGTCCTCCAAGAGTTGGTTCCATTATCAATTGTCCTAAATTAGATTCTTGTTGATAATTTTTTTGGCCCCAGTTCCGATGGCAAATAGTTAATTTTTTTCAACTAAGTTATACTCTCTCGTTTTAAAATATAAAGCATTTTTAATTGAATTTTATCTTTTAATAAAATAGTTATTTACTTTCAAATTAATTTTATCTTTTCATATTTATTCCTATTAAATCACCTATAATAAATATAAAATCATTATTAATAGAGATATTTTTAAAAAAAGAGCAATGATTATACTTTGAAGACTAAAAATGCTTTACATTTTTAAACATTTAGCATCTAAAAAATATTTTATATTTTTAAATGAATGAAGTATATATAAACCTTTAATTATTGGTAACTTTTTCAATTAAAATGCTACATATATAATGATTATGATTCAAATTTTTATTTCCTTGCTTGCTTAAATCACAAGAGCTTTTAGCACTTATGCTAATTTGAGTTGGTAAATGTTTCCCATTTTTTTCATTAAAAAAAATCTTAACAAGGAATAACTATTTAAAAACAAGATTTACAACATGTATATTTATATATTACATTTATATATAAATAAATTTTAAAGTCTTTGAGAAATTAAAATTCAGAAACTCTTAAAATATAAACCAATATTGACGCAAGGATTAGAAAGTTTATTGAAAGCAAAATGATTTAGAAAAGAGAAGCAAACAGCGAGCTGAATAGGAGTTCACCAATCTGGCACACACGCACATTTCTTTCTTTGTTTTTTTTTTTTTTTTGCTATTTTTGATGCGTAAGATCTTGTCATTTTGTACAAAGGAAAAAATATTGGCTATCAACTACCAATTATTAAAAGGAGAGAAGGAAAAAAAAAACTGTGTTCAGGCAATTATAATCGAGTAACAAAAACATGGGCAAAATTAATTTCAGTGAATGTAGGCATGCATAGATGGCCAAAAAGAATGTAGGTATGCATAATATGATGTAAAATAAAAAAGTTATTTTAATTTTTTTGCCTCTACTTTAAAAATAAGGATAAAAGGATAAAAATACCTATAAAGTAGTTAGGCACAGGCACCCAGCATCCTAAAGTGATAAAAAGAATAAAATATCTATAACGTTATATGGATGAGTGCAAAAGTAATCAGATTGTTAACTTTAACTATTAAATGCTGACTGTGCATGCTATGTGTTAGTTTTTGCTAATGTGGACTAAAAAAGAGGCAAAAATACCCACAAAGTCATCGATCAGGAGTAAAAATACCGATAACGTTACCAGAATTGGTGCAAAAGTGACCAATATATTCAATCTCTTAAATGTTGACCGTTTAGTTAACACTTAAGCAGAAGTTAATTTTTTTTGCTGATGTAGATAAAAAATATTCCAAAATAAATTTTTATGGATGTTGATCGATCATTGTATGAGTACCTATAATGTTACTTTAGTAAGTGTAATAGTGACCAATCTATCAAAATTAATGCCATATAGTTTCTTTCCATCATTACGTATCTCACCCCTTTCCTTTCTCTCTCTCCACTCATTTTTCTTGTCCACAAAACTTGAGATTTTACATAGTGAGATAGGTTGTTCAAAATCAAAAATTGAGATTGAGCACATCTAACTTAAAAATATTTTTACAACCTTAAACAATTGCATTCACGATAGATTCAAAATTTTCAAATAATTTTAGCTACTGTTGCCAAAAACAAGCAATTTAATTTGATAGTTAGTCAAAATAATATTTTCTCACATGATATTTATACAATAATTGATTAATTTTCAGAGAATTTCATCTAGAAATATTTTTTTATATCAGTGAAAAAAATAGTCAACTTTTACTTAGGTGTCAGCTAAACGGTCAATATTTAAGGGATTGGATGTATTGGTTATTTTTACACCAATTTTGGTCACGTTATGAGTATTTTTGCTCATGCTCGATGATGTCGTGGGTATTTTTGCCCATTTTTTAGTCCACATCAGTAAAGACTGACACGTGACATGTACAATCAGCATTTAACGGTTAAAGTTAACAATGTTAGGTTAAAATTAACAGTCTGATTATTTTTGCACAAATCCATGTAACGTTATAGTTATTTTTACTTTTTTCATTACTTTAGGATACTGAGTGCCAATGGTTGACTATTTTATGGGTATTTTTACCTTTTTATCCAAAAATAATAACTATATTAAATAATAATTATAAAGATATAGTAAACATGACAAAAATAATAAAACAGAGAGAATCGCTTTCCTTCATTCTTATCAAATGAATGTTTGCTAAGCTATAGTGAAAACGTTGAGCATGACACTTTGCATAATTTTTAACTTGTTACAACTCAACGACTCATGTAAACAAAATTGTTTCATATAGCAAAATTTTAAGTCTATGATTTGATGAACATCCTATTAAGAATCGCTTAAAACTAAACTTGATAATTTTTATGTATGCATAACAAAAAGAATCATTAATTAGTGAGGTCAAAGATGATATATTGACTATAGTTAATGTTTCATTAGTCTGTTTTTCCCGAAATGATGTTATTCTTCTTAAAAAATCCAGACACTACTTTTTATACATTTTCCAAACAAATTCACGTATGGCTTCACCATCTTCGCTCCATCTTCGCCCCATCTCCGCATTAACATAAAAGCCAAAAAAGTAATTGAAAGAAAAAGGTTTGATTTAACTGAACTTATTTCAGTATAGATATTTTAGTTTCTCAAAATCAATCTGGCTCATAATGCATCCTTTGCTCCAGATCATGTCCACGTTGCTGCATCTTCAAATGTGAACATTGCCTCGAGTCGTTCATGAAATAGTTGACCGCAAATTAAGTGATGCAGAGCAACGAGCCCAACAAAAGGACCAGTTTCGGTGCTCATTAACTGATGAGCACTCTGGACAGTAGAGTCAGTAATTTGGATCAAGCCTGACGGGCCAGCCCGAACCCGTCCGAAAAATTTAGGCCCGAACCCAAAAAAATAATATTTTTTATTATTCGGGCTAAGCCCGATCGGGTTCGGGCTTGGCCCGAATACCCGAATAGGAAAAAAAATAATTTTTTTAAAATATATAATATAATAAATATTAATTATTTTTTAAGTTTTATATTATTTTATTTTAAAATACCATATATTTGAGTGTATTACTATAGTTATTTTGAAAAAAATAAAAATATTTATATTTTTTCATTTTTATTATTTTTAATCAAATAAAATATCTCAAAATAATAATTAAAATATATTTTAATATTAATTTTTATATTTTAAGACTCAATTTTTTTTTGAAAAAAATTGAGTCATATAAATCATTTTCTTGTCCAAAAAATTATATTTTATATTTTTTATAAAATAAGATAATTAATTTTAAATTAAAAATAATTTTAAAAATAAAATTTGGACATGTATAAATTTTCGGCTCTACTACTAAACAAACATAATAAATAAAATAATATTTTTAGATAATTATTTGATTATTATCCATGCCAGACTTAGTTAAAAATTAAGAATGAACTAAAGTAAATACTTTTTGTATATAGGACTTAAACAATATAAAAGATTTAAAAAAATTCAAAAAAATAGTATTTTACCCATAATTAAATAATTTTATTTTATATAATATAATGACGACTATTTTTTTCATATTTTTAAAAATAAAAAGTACAGTTTATCCAATAGTTATTAAAAACTTTAAACTAATCAGGACAATAATTTTAAATTAATAGTTTAACCGTAGTTGAATTGAGATTAACTTGATCATAATTAAAATAATATGATTCAATTAAAATATATAAATATTTTTATATAACTATGATAAGAGCAATATTTAAATAAATATGACATTAATTTACAAGTAAAGGAAACATTTATGAATAAATTGCACATAATACAACAAAACAGTAACACTACTTAAATACTTAACTACAAAGTTAATAAGTTATTATTTTTTATTCATTTCAAGTTAAAATAATTTGTTATGGTTAATAAAATTATTTAAAAATTAAAATTGATTAAAAATAAAAAAAATATTTTTAAAAAAGTTTCGGGTATTCGGGCCGGCCCGAATAAGCCCGAAGCCCGAAGGCGTTAGGGCCGGACTTGGCTATATGGGCTTTTTAGAAAGAGTAGAATTCTTTAAGCCCGACCCGAATAAGTCCGGCCCGCCCGAATTACCGGCTCTACTGGACAGTCCAGATTTACCAATTTTTTTAATATTTTATTATATATTTATTAAAATATAAAATATTAAATATTAATAAATCTACTTTATCATTAATTTGAACAATATAGGTTTAATCTGGACGGTCCAATTCAATATTAATTTTTTTATTTTCATAAATTGAATATTCGTATATACTTTGGACAGACTATGTCTAAATTACTACATCTGAATACTTAAGTCATAAAAATTTTAAAAAAATTCATATTAAATTAAATCATCCAAATTAAATCTAAATTATCCAAATATAATAAAATAGATTTATTAAAATTTTATAATTTTTTATAATAAATATAAAATAAAAATAAAAAATAAATTCTACAAAATCTGGACCGTGATGCCCATCACCATGGTGCTCATCACTTGAGTACCAAAACCAAATCCCCAACAAAGAAAGTCAGGAACAAACAACATCCAGACCATGTCTCGTGTACTGCCATGCAACAGTAGGGCCAACAAATGTCAACTTTTAGTGATGCCAATCATGGTATTGAAATCCGGACCGGACCGGTCGGGTCAACCCAAAAACCGGTGACCCGGTCCCTTGTCCGGTCTGGGTTTACTCCTAAACCGGTAACGAAATAAACCGGTGTAACCCGGTCAACCCGGTGGGTTGACTGGGTTAACCAGGTTATTTTTTTTAAATTTTTTTTTCACTTTTTATTTTTAAGAGTGTTGAATTTAGAAATAAGATAACAAAAAAAAAGTAAAACTAAAGTCAAAAAATAAAAAATTAGAGATAGAGCACGCTAAGTCCAATTCAGATTTTCAAACAACATTTATTTCGGCCTTTCATCTGTGTCTCTCCTCTCTCACCCTAACCTAATCAGTGTCTCTTCTCTAGCTTAATCTCCGTTTCTTCTTCAGGCTCCAGCTCTATCTCCATCTCTTCTCCAACTCTATCTCTGTCTTTACTATCTTCATTTCTTCTCCAGCTTAGTCTCTGACTCTTCGTCTTTTTTCTAGCTCAATCTTCGTCTCTTCTCCAACTCTATTTCCATCTCTTCTCTAAACTTTTGAGATTGAAGAGTTGTAAGTGTAATGATAGATATTTAAAATATTGTATTTTATTACTGTTAGACTTTTGAGTGGTTGAATTTAGTTGAATATTTTTATAATTAATGTCTTTTTATTTAAATTGTATTATTTTAATCATGACCGATTTGCCACCGGTTCAACCCCCGGTTCAACCCTAATTGAACCACTAACCCGTGACCCAATGCCATAACCGGTTCAATGACCGGTCCGGTTTTACGTACCTTGATGCCAATAATGGCATGTTAAGAAGAACTAAGGGTCAAATGACAATGGGGGCAACAAATCAAGCAATAAAGCGCCAAAAAATTTTTTTTTAAAGGAATTTCAGGATTTGGTCAAGGAGCATGGTAATATGTGATCAAAAGGAGTAAATTCAGGAAAAAGAAACGAAGTACAAATTATATTGTTGATTACCCCATCAGAGTTAGCAGGTTCCATTCTCCGTTGAATGTTCAAATTTGCTGAGACTAAATGAAGCATCCAACCATTCTGAGCTCTTTGCTCGTTCCACGTAGTGTATAAACTGTTTCTTAGCATCAGGGACATCCAAAGCCAAGTCATCAAGAGATTCTGCAATCCTTCCAAACCCCTTCATCATCTGGTTGGTAGTTATCAGTCCTGATTCAAAGCATTCCTTGAGCAGACCCCACAACCTGTCATTCTTCTTCTCAATGATTTTCACCAGGGCTTTCTTGACGACCTCGTGGTGAAAAAATGGCATTCCTAGTTCTTTCATGCATCGACATGCCTCCCTTATGTCACCTCCAGACTCATACTCCTCCAAAAGGTTTATAATCTTGTCCTTGACATCCTCAATTTCCCACCCAGATCTGCTGCTTCCCCCTCCACCCCAACACCTTAATATTCTCTCCCCAGAAAGCCTGGCCTTTAGCAATGACTTGGCCATTTGAAGCACTTTACTTCCTATTGAATCTTGCCCCAGACACTGTGTTCCAACCTCTTCTAGATGCTGTGGGGCCAGGACTTCATCCACTACTGATCTGGCCAGGAACATGGCAAGATCCTCCACCACTACTGGATTATCCAGAGCAGTGTCGTCTGCTGATTCTATCAACATGACAAAACCATTAACAACATCATCAGCTGGAAAACACAGAGATGAAAGCAGAACCGAGGCCATTTCCTTCTCCCGCTTCTTTCGATCCATAGCTAATGTTATAAGTCTCTTGACAAAGATTGCTTTGAGATGTGCAGAGCTAGTGTTGCTCTCTTGCTCAAGACAACTAATTACTTCAAATATATCACCCGACAAGAAGTACTCTTGAATTATGGACTGAGCCTTTAGCTTGAAACTTCTGGCTGCATTTTCTTCTAGTGACTTTTTCTCTGTCTCCGGTGAGAGCGATTTCAAAGATGAAACACATAGCCAACCCTCGGATGCTGCCTTGGACATTAGTTTTTGGAGTATTTCACGTGCATTTGGTATGTCAAGTGATAAGTCATCGACAGTGTCAATCAACCGATCAAAGCCCTTTGAGGTTTGACTTGAGTTGATAAAACCTTCTTCAGCTGCTTCTTTCAAGAGATCTAGTAAGGGACCTTCTGCTTGGCGCCTCTCCATTGCCATTATAAGAGCGCGTTTCACTATCTCATGATGATAAAATGGAACTTTCAAATCCTTAATGCATCTAAAAGCTTCTTTCTTGTCACCACTTGTTACATATTCTATCAACAAATTGTTTATTCTAGCCTTCACATCATCAACTGTCATATTCTTACTGCCTCCCCACCGGCGCTCTATGATTTCTGCATGCAGAGGGGCTGCAAGATAGTTCTTCTCAGCCTTTTTCAAGACTTCAATCCCTTTTGAATCCTTCTGTAAGTAAGCCATCTGTTTCTTTAAAAATGCAGGAGGAAGTATGTCATCAACCACAGCTCGAGCCAAGAAAAGCGCTAGAACATCCACTGCGTCTGGTATGTCTACAATCAGGTCATCTGCAGATGCAACTAGCTTACTGAAGCCCTTGTAAACTTGAGAAGGATCAATTGTGTCAGCATAAAGTGCAGATAGCAGAACAGCAGCCATTTCTTTTTCTTTGTCATGTCTGTCCATTGACATTGAAACAAGCTTCTTGACAAAATAGTAGCTGAAGTATGGCGTTCCAAGTTCTCTCAGTTCGTTTTTTACAGCAACAATATCATCGGTGGTGAAATATTCCTCCACTATTATTGTAGCTTTCTTCTTGTACTCATCTAACTCCCCTTTCTTTTTCTTTTCATTCGAAGGTTCATTTTCCTGCAAATCATACTTGCTTTCAACTTCTTGGTGTTGATCACATGACATAAACGCAAAACAAGCAACCAAAGGTTTAATCTTTTCACCTCAGTGCTGTCATAGTTTGGATCATGAGGGTCAAGAAAGTTCATGTCTTCAGTATCAAGCAATCCTCCCCACGTGCCTTTCCCTCCACAACCTCCTGCATTATTAAAGAAAAAAGAAAAAAGAAAAAAGATTAAAACGTTACTCTCAAACATAAAAATATCAGAAATATTTTTCAGACAACGCATTTTATCCACTCAAATTAAGGTTTACCTACACCTTTAGTACATGGACTTCAAAATGTCACAAAGCACCTCAGTTTGAAAATGTAACTTAACAGGAGTCCCCTCAAAGAAACGGGGGCGTTTTTAACAGATAAGTCGTTTAATTAACGGAATAATATGGGTTTTCGCTAAATATCATAATAAATATTTGATAGCCATGGAATACAATGGAAGGAAAATTTCCCTGATAATGCCAAACCACTCCCTTCATTTTCCGGTAACTATGAGTCATAGTGTATCCTATAATGGAAAAAACGCATTGCAATTAGATGGCCACGATAACCTAGCACATAGGTTTAACTTTAGCATCTTAATAGGAGTGATCAAATATCAACAAATGGAACCCAGTATGGGAAATTTAATCATTTTGAATATTGCATGTACCTTTCTTTGGTCGTCCATCTCGTGGCGAACGTGATTGCCTTTCATTCTTTGGACTATGGCCAGGTAACCTTGGGGACCTCGGAGACTTTGGAGAAGTGGGGGATGCCGGTGTCTTTGGAGAAATTTTCAATGAAGTAACAGAGAATGGATCTGCACATTCTGAAACAGATTGATCAAGCTTACAAATACGTAAGTGTAATTATATATTATTAAAGACATGAAGCCTAGTAATCAGGGTCACTTATTAATGGGACTCATGCATGACATGTTTACACGTGTATTCATGAAGAGATTGATCTACCTAGCTTTTATGGAACAGGCCTCCATAAGAATCTGTCCTAGAGGCTTTACCTTTCTTGGGACATCCGTCTCTTGAAGAATATGGGTGCTTATCATGATTTGGACTTCGCTTGCCGCCCTTGACTTGGAACCTAGGGGACCTTGGAGAGCCACAGGATTTCGGTGACTTTGGAGAAGTTTGCAATGGAGGAACAGATAATGAATCTGCACTTTTTGAAACTGATTCATGAGGTTTGCGATGTTCACTTAACGTAGAACCATTACTGGTATCCATCGCATCTATTTAATTCTCTAAGCCTTCACAAATCACTCTAATTTTGCTAGTTGCATGTATAAGAGATCACAATATTAGCACCATATGAATCAGAAATAAGCTCTAGTCAATGGCACATCAGAGAAGGCTTCAATCTTAAAAATGCTTCTCGAATCAATCTCCTCTTCTCTTGGAAAAAAGCCATACACTACAAACCAATTTTGCTTCTGTGAGATTTGAGCTTGCGGGAGCTCAGGCAGTGGCCAGCAATGGCTATGAGATTCTTACAGTGTAGTTTGTTGGATTCAACCCTAGCCGAACAAGTAGCAGTTGGCACCAGATCAGGGGAAGTAATTGAAAGAGAAAGACAGTGTTCAAAGGTAGCTGCAAAATATGAGGTGTTTCCATGTGTGTGTCGGAAATCAAAATGCGGATCTTGAACGAGTTTGTCTCGTCTATGATGTTCCAAGCTTTCTAATTCCTTTGCCTTTGGAAATAGGAGAGGAAAAGGCCTTGCTTTCGACCAAGTAAACTCATGACTCCTAAAATGTAGGTAAGGATGTCATTTGTCGAGTAGCAGTAACAAAAATTTCTTGAATATGTCAATGAATAATGAATGTGATTGATCGATGAAAAATGTTCTCATAAATTTTATATTTTATAAATTATTTTCACTTAATAAATATGTAAAGATTAGAGATATTAAGAGTGAGAAGAGCAAGAGTCTTATGTCATTAAATTTGTATGATTCATTCTAGGTCAAGAAAAACTTAATTGACCCAACCTAATATGCTATACTCGGTGTTTAATCAATTAGATTACATTGAAGATTAGTCTTTGATTATGTTGCATAAATATTGATATGTATATCAGATATGATACATATCAGATTGATACTTTTATTTTTAAAAATATAAGATACAATATACTTTCAATACATGCAAATATATTTGTCAAAAAAGTCATAAAAACATTAAAAATATAATTTCAATTTATAAAATATCCAACCTAGCATATATATATATATATATATATATAGTTCTTTATAGTAACACCAAGCAATATATAATTATTAATTATACTTTTATTTTAACTCTATCTAATTGCCTACCTTCTAATCTTTGCCAATAGTTTTATATTTCGGGTTTATATGCCAAAAGATAATATTCCCACATTTTTATAATTAAAAAATATAATTTTTATTCTTTTATTATATCTAAAACTTATTTTTTAAGAAAAATTTAATTTTTGACTTTGAAAACAAATCACAGAAACATATTAGAAGCAAAGAAAATAATATTGCAATCTTTAATAAAATTTAATTTTTTTAAAAGCAATCTCAAAGTATCAACTTTAAGGTATTAACTTACAATTTAAAAATAATGAATACGTATCAAAAATTAAAAATTTTTAAAATAAAAAATAATATTTTAATACTTTATGGATACATATTAAAAAAGTGCCAATGAATACAATATCAATACAAATACATGAGATAATTTAAAGTATTGGTGGTTTATAAATTTTTAACTTTTTTTTATTTTGTTTAAAGGAAAACATCATCATTATTTTTTGACCATCAAGGGAAACTATAAATTTCAAGCGCAGCGATAATAGCCTAATACTGTCTAACAAAGTTATTTTCTTTCTTTCTTTCTTTCTTTCTTTGTTTTTTTTTTTATTTTAATTTTTGGGGTCAGGCAAAAACTTCGGTGTTGCCTGAAAAAGCCGGGAATGGAAATTCCTTTGGAGCATAAATCGCATTATTGTAGTTATTTTCAAAAATCATAAAGTATAGTTTCACGCTAAAGTAATAGTAATAGGGGAAAAGAAGACTTTCTCTCTCCAAATAAAAGCGATCCAAAATCCCAAATTCGCCCTTGCACGTTAACCAATATTAGGAGTTCGGACTTAACCAGTACTAAAGCCTACAGCCTGACTGTCGCGAATTCGCACTGAAGCTCAAGGCTGAAGTCGGCCATGTCGACGAAAGACGCTGACTTCGTAGTCAGCCTGCAATCCCAGATTGATGCTCTTCAAACCAGGGTTATGGTATGATCAGTCTCTGTTTGTTTGCCGGGAAAGTGGGAAAACCAAAACGAGGAACTCAAAGGAAATGATTTTCTTGCTTTCTGGGGTTAACTGGGCTTTATTGGTTAGACCGTCAATCTTTTCTGAGTACAATGGCTTCTCCTGCTTGATTAGCATGCCCGCGAGTTTTTTCAGTTTGTCTCGTTTTAGCGAGTATTTTCAGTTTGTCTCGTTTTAGTTCTTGTTGCTTGTATAAAGCTTAGGAATTGTTGCTTCTTACACTTCTGCACTTTCTGAAATATCGTTTGTGATAGCATGCTAAGTCAACAGGGTCCTCCACTATTGACTTATCAGAGAAGAAATGGGAGGAAGTTTGAATCAGTTATGCAGAAATAAATTAATTTTTATTTAATTATTGCATTTTCAGTTAGCTAAATAAATGGATCAACTTTTGCTAAGTGGTTCACCGACGTTAAGTCAGTTTGAGTCAGTTGTAAGATATGTTGGGATTATTTCTTATTATTTATTTGTTATTCTGATGTAATTCCTGCATTATAAATGGGCTGGCTCTCGTCATAGCTAGACACATTGAGAAATAAAATATCATTTCCCTTGGAGATTCTCCTACTCTGGCTATTAAATTTTTTAGGGTAAGATTCTTGCTCTAATTTATTTAATAGATTTTTTTGCTTTCATTACTGTTCTGAGTATTTAACAGTTTGAGACACTGCTATCAGTTCAATGTGCGTTTCTGGATCCTCTGTAAGTTTGAAAGAGATGCATGAATTATAGAAGAAAGGATTTTCGATAATTTTATTAAGACCATCTAAGCTTCATGGTTAATTGCGAAATTGACTCAGAGTGTAGGTTGAGTTGAACTCAGTTGCATGTTTATTAGGCATAAGTACATGGAGAGAACCAAGTACTATTATTAAGTTCCTTGTAAGATTGCTGTCACATCAGATATTGGGAAGTTAGAGATTCCATATTTGGTTTGACAATAAAAACAAGTAGATGACGACGCCCAAGCATGTAAGGTTTTACGATTTTTTGGCATCCTATATTTCCATGTTTTAGTATGATAATCATATTACCATAGCAAATGCAGGCATATAAGATACTTGGTCTTTTTACATTTGGCTCTGAAAATATTAATAAACTCAACACCTTCATATAATCATAGATAGAAAATAATAATAATTATAATAATAATAAAGGGGATTGATGTGTGTGTCTAATTATCCTCTGTTGTTAATTCTAACCTTGGTGTCTGGTCTGCAATTAATAAATTGAATGTAATTTTTTGCTGTTGTTGTGTTTTTTTTTTTTCTGTTTTGATAAGTACAGAAACTGCAATGAGAATCTGTTTATAAATCTAGCTCACAATTTTATCTGTTGTTTTTCTTATTGAACTTTGATTCATAAACCAGGAATTAGAGGCTGAAAATGCAAAGTTATTGTCTCAACTCACAAATTGTGGCAAGCACGGGGTTAGCTAATATTTTCTTTTTAAGTTCTTATCATTGTGAGCTTTATAAACCATTGCAAATTTTCAGCTAGGAAAAATTTACTCAAGGAAAAGAAAGGGGAAAATATGGAAGGTTTCTACTGCATTATTTAGGGATATTAAATTGTGGTGCAGATTGAGGAGAAATTACACAGTTCTGATGACAAACACATGAAATCAAAAAAAGGAAACGTGAAGACAGAAGAGAAGATACAAAAAGTGCCAGGTTGCCCTCTCCATATCATTTTTGGATGTTTAGTTTTGATAATACGGTTGCCATTGTAATCATAATGGAACCTAGCATGCTGATAGAGCACTTGAGCATATGATGCAATATATTAAAGTAGAAGCACTGTCATGGAATTTGATGTTTGAGGAGAGGATTGTGGAATGAATTCTGTGGCTTGTGTTAAAAGCTGGAACTTCAGATAATTTATCGGTCCTTGTGGTGCCAAAGAAATGATTTTTTGTATATTTCCCCCTCTTCTTGAGATGGCTTTCGCGGAAAATTTTTAAAGTACAAGGAACCTGACAAAAAATTAAAGTTGATTTCTAAAATTGTTCATCATCTTACTTGGTAATAGCATATGTAATTAGTTTTATGATTTCTTGCATGTATGCAAACATTGTGTCATCTTGGAGTATACGATTAAGAATTTCTATATGAATACCTATGGATGATATATGCACAATATAAATACATAAGAAAATAATTTAATTGAAAACTGTAAACCATGTTAAAGAAATCAGGTAAGAGATAAAGTGTTCCTCTAACCATATATTCTGTCTCCCACTCCTAGAGTAAGTGTCTGCCTCCACTGTTCATTGTCCATCTATTCTTTTACCAATGACTGTTTGTTTGATATGGTTAATCTCTTTGAATAAATGTACTAGACTATTTTTAGACGGAAAGGTCAGTAGAAAATATTAAGTGTCAATTCCTGAAAATTTTAAGCTTCACTTATATTCTTATATGCCTAGTAAACATTTTTTTGATGTGCTCCTTGATTTCATTGAGTTATAAACCCGGATGCTTAATCTGTTTGTTTTATTTGCATGGATTTTGTATTTTTCACATTTTTAAAGAAAATGATAAATTAACTGAGTTTATTGTCATATTTATTGTGCAATTATAGTTTATATATATATCTTACTTTCTTGTCACGAGAGAATTCAGACTGCTAAAACATGCTGCATATGTGAATTACCCTTAAATCTTGACACAGGCTATCAGTTGATGCTTAGCAAACATAGCAAGAGATATGTTGCTCTGAAAGTCATGTACTTTGGAAAAAGGTATATGATGTTCTTCTTCTTCTTCTTCTTCTTCTTCTTTTTTTCCCTAAAACAGGCATAGAAGCACAAAGCTGTGCAATGAGCACAGAGCAAACTATTCCTTCACCTTTTACTGAAAAACAAGCATGGAAGCTGTGACCTATAAAGGAAAGACAGATATGTGGTGCATTTCATATAATTTATTTTTCAACGCAGCACAATCATATGGTACAACTTTTAGAATTTTAAGGTCATGACATATGAGTAAATAGTTTAAGTTTTGATGAATATACTTGAGTATCTTTAGAGGTTTCTTCAGAGATGACGTGACTGTGCTTAGGGCCTTTTAGAATCTGAATTTTGCATGCAGGTTTAGTATTTCCTTCAGTTGAATTGGAAGAATCTGGAGTGCTTCACCTTCCATTATTTCACTGCCTTGTTTATATTTATTGAACTAGAATTTTATAAATAATATGTGATAATGAATATTAGGTTTTTTTTTTAATGCTATCTGTTAAATGCAGGTTCTATGGTTTTTCGTCAGAGGCACAAATGGATCCAACTGTCGAGGTTTGTTTTGACGCTGATTTTTTAGCCATTTATTTCCATAAGCTGCACAAATTCTTCATGCATACTAGCAAGCAGAATTATCTTTACTCATCACAAAAATGAATAAAACAACAACAACAACAACAACAAGCCTTTATCCCACTAGGTGGGGTCGGCTACATGGATTGCAAGACGCCATTGTGCTCTATCATTTATTAAGCTTTTAGAAATATTATTAATTAAGAGATCACGTTCAACAACTTCCAAGAGTGTTCTCTTAGGCCTTCCTCTACCTCTCTTAATCGGACTCAAAGTTATATGTTCCACTCTTCTCACTGGTGCCTCCCTTGGTCTTCTTTGTACATGCCCAAACCATCTCAACCGATTTTCTACCATTTTTTCCTCAATAGGTGCCACCCTCACTTTTTCACGTATGTGCTCATTTCGAATTTTATCTTTACGTGTATGTCCGCACATCCATCGTAACATTCTCATCTCTGCTACTCCAACTTTATGCTCTTGCTGTCCCGTTAGAGCCCAGCATTCACTACTATATAACATTGCCGGTCTGATAGCAGTACGATAAAACTTTCCTTTAAGTTTATTAGGCACCCTACGGTCACAAATAACTCCTTTAGCTTTTCTCCAATTAAACCACCCAGCTTGAATTCTATGTGAAATATCTCCACTGATTTCGCCATCATTTTGAATAATGGCTCCCAAATATCTAAACTTTTCCACTTGAGGTATAATTTGATCTCCCAATTTCACTTCAAATTATTTTCGAATAGTCCTTTACCAAATTTACAATATAAATATTCCGTCTTACTTCTACTCAGACGAAAACCTTTCGACTCCAATGTCCTCCTCCATAACTCAAGTTTGCAATTAACCTCTTCTCTTGTCTCTGCTATAAGAACTATATCATCCGCAAAGAGCATACATTTCGGGATTTCCTCTTGAATATGTTCCGTCAAAACATTTAAAATCAAGTTGAACAAATAAGGACTCAGAGATGATCCCTGATGTAGTCCAATCTTTATAGGAAAATCCTTTGTTTGACCACTAGGCGTTCTTATACTAGTTTTTACCCCCTCATACATATCTTGTATGGCTTTAATATAAGCAATCCGTACTCCCTTTTTTTCCAACGCTTTCCAAAGCACTTCTCTTGGTATACGGTCATAAGCTTTTTCCAAATCAATAAAAACCATGTGTAGATCTTTATCTTTACAACGATACTTTTCCATTAATCCCCTTAGTAGATAAATCGCCTCTGTAGTTGATCTACCTGGCATAAAACCAAATTGATTCTCAGAAATACTTGTCTCCAATCTCAACCTGTGCTCAATTACTTTCTCCCACAATTTCATTGTGTGGCTCATGAGTTTAATCCCTCTATAGTTAGTACAATTCTGAATATCTCCTTTATTTTTATAAATAGGAATTAATGTACTTCTCCTCCACTCATCAGGCATTTTCTTGGACCGTAAAATCACATTAAATAACTTAGTTAACCATCTCACCCCTTCTTCACCTAAACATTTCCACGCTTCGATAGATATACAATCAGGTCCGTTGGCTCTACCATTTGCCATTTTCTTAAGAGCTTCCTTTACCTCCTTATCACGTATTTTTCGATAGAATGACAAATTTTGTTCTCCTTCACCAGTTACTAAATCCTCCAAGTTACTAGATGAATCCTCTCCATCATTGAAAAGTTTAGAAAAATAAGTCTCCCATCTATTTTTAATTTCATCATCTGTAACTAAAATTCTTCCCTCTCATCCTTAATACACCTTACCTGTTCTAGATCTCTTGATTTTCTTTCCCTACTCTTGGCAATCTTATAAATATTTTGCTCTCCTTCCTTCGTCTCAAGGTTCTTATAAAATTCTTCAAAAGCTTTGGAACGAGCTTCACCCACAGCTCTCTTAGTTTCCTTCTTAGCCATACGGTACCTCTCCCAATTTTCCTCATTGTTACACAAATGTATGGCTTTAAAACAGTTCTTCTTATACTTGATTTTGTCCTGTACACTATTATTCCACCACCAAGACTCCTTATCTCTCGGACCAGAACCTTTCGATTCTCCCAAAACTACTTTTGCAACCTCCCGTATCTTTTTAGCCATATCCTCCCATATGATGTTAGCACTTCCCTGAGAATCCCAAATTCCTTTATCCAAAAGATTTGCTTGAAAATATCTTGCTTCTCACCTTTTAATTGCCACCACCTAATCCTTGGTGTTACTACTTGTCGACGTTTTTGGATTTTACTCATAATACACACATCAAGGACTAGGACCCTATGTTGTGTCGTTACAGCATCTCCAGGGATCACCTTACAATTTTTACAAAGTTTTCTATCTGTGTTCCTAACCAAAAGAAAATCAATCTGCGACCTTGAGGCTCCACTTTTGTAAGTGATGAGATGCTCATCTCTCTTCTTGAAACAAGTGTTGGCAATTTTAAAATCATACGCCAATGAGAAATCAAGAAGAGTTTGCCCTTCATTGTTTAGCTCTCCAAAACCAAAACCACCATGCACCCTCGCATACTGACCAGCTTCCCTCCCGACATGCGCATTAAAGTCTCCTCCAATAAAAATCTTTTCACTCTGTGGTATGTGTCGAATCAACCCCTCCAGATCCTCCCAAAATAATTCCTTAAGACTGGCTTCTGTCCGACTTGCGGCGCATAAGCGCTAACAATATTAACAGTCTCACGTCCAATTATCATTTTTAAAGAAATAATTCTGTCTCCAATTCTGCTAACTTCTACAACGTTCTTCTTCCACTCCTTATCTATAATGATGCCTACTCCATTGCGTGCACTTACTTTTCCTGTATACCAAAGTTTGAAACCTTGAATATCCTTAGCTCTTTCTCCACGCCATTTTGTTTCTTGCAAGCAAAGGATATTGATTTTCCTTTGAATCATAACCCCTACAACCTCTACAGATTTACAATTTAATGTCCCAACATTCCAAGTACCAAATCTAATTTTGCTCTTATGGACTAACTTCTTTAGCCGCGTGCGTCCAGAATGACGCGGTAGCCCTTGCTCATTTAACACTACATCCGGGCGCCGATGCAGCGGCTCTAACTCACTTATCACTGTACTCGAGCCATGCAGCGCGTTACTTACGGGCAACGACCTAGCATTAACATTATAACGTCTATTGTCCATGTTCATGATAGATTCAACAAATTTTTACATTGGCTGTTGATGGCCTAACACAACCCTCCTCCTTTACCCGGGCTTGGGACCGGCTATAAACATAGGCGGAGTTCATCACAAAAATGAATGTACATTATAAATTATCCATGCGATGGATGAAGAGTTCTGAATTTTTCCTCAGTATTAATATGCTGTAAAGTCAGCGAGTGAATGCCTCTGTGTGATCTATCATCTATAATTTTATTGCAGTCTGAGATTTTTAAAGCTCTTGAGAAAACAAGGCTATTGGTTGGTGACAAGAAGGAGTCACAATATTCAAGATGTGGTAGAACAGACAAAGGTGTTTCTTCTGTTGGACAAGTAAGTCAACTTGAAATGAAAAGGAAAATAAAAGAAAAATACACTTCCTACCAGCAATGACTGATAAATATCAATGCTACGTAGTTTATATAAGTTCCAATTTATACTTTTCCAACTGTTAAGAACTTAAGATACACGATAGCAATCATTGTCTCCTAGAACCTGCTTCTATGACAAATGCTTGTAAGATAAGTTGAGGTTGTTTAGAGCAATGCTAAATAAATTTCTAAATGGAAGACAAGGGATTTTTATGCAGAAAATTTGAAGCAAGTTAATAAATTTCCATTTGACTATGCATCCCTTAAAAGGTAGCTATGTTAAGCATCAGGATTGAAAGTTCATATGGTGGTGGTGTTGTATTTATTTCAGCCATTTCAGCTAAATTTAGTTATTGATATATGGAGCATCATGCTTTCTGTTAATTAATTTACTTAAGTGGCTCTTATGAGCAAAATTTTGAAGCAGGTAATAGCTCTTTTTTTAAGGTCAAACCTCAAGGAATCAGGAACAAATAATAGAAATGCTGGAGAAATTTTTTCAGAAGAGCAACATGGTTAGAACAAAGTTCTTTTGAAAGATGAGATTACTTTTTTTTTTCTCCCTGTGATTGCTTATTATTTGTTGTTATGAGATGTTTTTATGTCCATTGAGTTGGATATTGATGATTAAAAAAATGATGGAGGCATCTTGATTTTAGGCGATTGTAAATTTGACTTTAGTAATGGTATTTGGCACTTTATATTTGCCAGAGCAATAGAGGTGACTGTTTGCCATATTTTTTTGTCTCATTTGCTTCTCCAGCATTGTTCATACTGAGTCGTGTTCTGTTTCTTCCCTCTTTTTGAATAAATTTAACTTGCCTTTTGCAGAAGGGGACATTGATTATGTGAAGGTGCTAAATCGAGTCCTTCCTAATGATATTCGAATTCTGGGCTGGTGTCCTGTTCCTGTTGATTTCCATGCAAGGTTTGTCTGCTTCATTTGTAACTTTGCTTTTTCACCTGATGATCAAGTCATATGGGGAATTGGTGACAGCAAGAGCAGTACAAGAGCTGGGAATTACTATTTTTGTTATGGCATATTGGAAGATTCCCAACCCTACTTCATAATTAATTTTATTTGAAACTCCATTAAGTTGCACTCCTTTTGTTTAGTGGTTGTGGACAAAAGTTATTCCACATTGGTCAAGGGTTTCAAACTTTGTAATTCCCTCGACATTATAATTAATGAATGAAATGGCCTATTTGAAATTCTTGAATTTGAATGGGCCAGACAAATGTGTAATGGTATATGAAGTCCAACAAATAATCTTCCTTTACATGCAAGTAGTATATAAAACAGAATAGAAATACAGAGAAAGATATTATAGACTAGAATTAGTGCTTGTAATAGAATCGCTCAAAGAAAAGGCAAAGGCGTTATGTTAAATTCCTGCTAGAGAGGCTGACTTGGGCGACAATTTCAATTGCCCCAAGAGCTTACTTAAGTTGACAAGAAGTTGGTTTCATATAGGAAGCTATTACAATTTAATCATATAATTGCAATTTAAACTGAATTTTGAGGTAGAATGGTTTGGATGTTTCTTGAATTGTATTGTATTTTCCGACCTTCAGATTGCCAGGATTAAACTGAAATTATTTTTACCTGTTACTTGGAAATGTTGACCTCTTAATTTGCAATCACTTATCACTTTCTTTGTTCACTTTAATCAGGTTCAGCTGTTTAAGCAGGGAGTATGAATATTTTTTCTGGAGAGAAAACTTGAATATTCAGGCAGGAAAACCATTTTCCTTTTGTGATTTTTTTAAAATTTTTTGAACTCCTTTGCCTGTCTGTGATTATACCCTAGACTCAAAAGGCTTATTACTAATGAGCGGTACATACTTTTCTTTGTATAATGTCACTTCAGGCTATGGAGAGTGCTGCCAAGAAGTTCTTAGGAGAACATGATTATAGGAACTTCTGTAAAATGGATGCAGCAAATGTACACAACTATAGGCGGCATATCAACTTGTTTGAGATGTCTCCTACTAATGTGAGGTTAAAATTGGTAGACAATTTTTCTGATCTTTTGTGTGTTTCTGCACGTGTGTGCATGCTCATGTTGTGCTAAATTACCATCGAAAATGCACATTACTAGTTTGCACTAAGTTTTAGCCTTCATATTTGTACCAAACTCTCAGAAATTTTAACGAGGGGGCTAATTACATTTTACATGATATATAGCTCAAATGGGGAACACTCAATACCTGTGTCATATCAGAATTCAGAGTTATGGTGGCTTTATATAGTTAAAAACTTAATAAATGTATTATCCTTACTAGAACTAGCAATTTGTCAGTTGGAGTTGTCGTGGACATTACAGTCTGAGCAATTTTTTTTCCCCCAAATCTACCTTCAGGTATGATGATAATCAACTCTGGGTGATTAAAATCAAAGGCACAGCTTTTCTATGGCATCAGGTTCGCTGCATGGTTGCCATTCTATTCATGGTTGGCAAAGGTCTTGAATCTCCAGATGTGCGTACCTAACATGCTCATGTATAAATTTATATTCTATATAGACGTCTCCTTGTTGATTATTTATACTTTGTGAAATTACAATAGAACAAATCTTGTTCAGGCTGCACCTTGACATGTTCTCCAAGTTTAACTGTGAAGGCAAAGAAGTAACAAATCTGGTTAAACATTATATAAGTGGAATAATAAGAGTTCTGTGGGCTAAATAAAGGCAACACTTACTAAATGGAAGTGTTCTGTCTCTTCTGCCATATAAAAATGTGTCTTAGTTGTTACTGTGGTAATACTTTATTGCTTTATATTAATAGATGTCTGCATTTAAGTTTTTGGTACTTGTCTTAAATGGCTGTGACCACTTGTCAACCTCTGCAATGATGCACTGTTCTGATTTCAAAATGTCAAATCAAATAAATTCAATTTATGGACGAAAAACAGGTATGCTACTCAGAAGAATTCTTGTAGCCACCTGAAAAGCCATAAATCGAGGAATTCCACAATTGAGAGAGAGAATTCGTGTAACAGTGAAATTGAGCAAGAGTTGTGTAGGTGAAACCTGGGAGACTTGGATTATCTCCATATCAAGAATAGAAATATATTTGTAGAGAGGATACAGATTTCATGTAGGTGAAACATGCGTAGAAGGGGAGAAGAGAGATGATGCTACCTGATTTTGAATGAGCGACCAGAATAAGGACGTACTGATGATAAAAAAGGACATCAATGCTATTCTAGATTTGTGAAAATTTGGAAAGAGAAAGAGCAATGAGGTGATGTGGAAGCAGAAAAGGTTCTTTATTTCTTGGAAGAAACATCTTTATAAATGATTCGAGCTGTAGCTGGCCAAATATGATTTGACTTGAAAAAATAGGACAAAATACCATATGGCAGGGCCAATGGCAATTGTTATATATATACATATACATATATACACACACACATATATATATATATATTCAGGTTATCTATGTGAGGATGAAAGGAAACCTTCAAAATTGAAAGTATTTCCATATTGTTCTTCTCCATCTCCATGTCTGTTATAAGCCTCTGCAGTTTGCGCTAATGACTCTAAATTCTTTGATGCTTAAATTTGTAGGTGATTGATATTTTACTGGACACTAACAGGACTCCAAGGAAACCCCAGTATATCATGGCAGCAGAGATTCCATTGGTTCTTCAGTCTTGTGAATTTGCAGATATTAGGTTTATGTGTTCTTCAGGTATATCTCTAATGTATAACGTTAAAGATGGTTCTTATTCAAGCGTCGTTAACTCAGAACTGCTGAATAATACTCAAATTAACTGTATATATATCCAGATGCTGGAGAAGCCTTGCGTTTACACTTTGTGAATGAATGCCAAACTTTCCAGCTCCAGGCTGCAATCTTCCACGAAGCTATTCTTAATTTCATGCCTCCATCAAATGGTACTGCTGCAAATCTTGATTATGGATTCCACTTCAATTTTATGCCTATTTTGGTTAAAGTTGTTTATTATGATTGATGATGCCAGTTCTTTTTCCAGATCAAAGCTTGCAGCGTTATGAAGGAACCAAGAAGAAAGCTTCCCATGTCCCTCTTATGTCACGACCAACTGAGCGTGAGTTCTGTCACCCACAATTTTAGAGATGACTATAGAGCGAGACAGGACTAATTGTTTCAAAACCATCTTAGCCCCTCCCCCCTCTTTTTTTTATTTGTCTCGTGCATACTCTATAACCTTGCAGGTTTATTTTTGTACTCGCTAGCATTTTATTACTCCATGCCAACCCCATCCTGTCAATAATAATTTGAAAACAAAGTTCTTTACACCTAGGTTTGAGTCTCATTTTGATAATTTTATTATACATTTATATTGTATAGAGATCTGATAATGGTTGGTTGGGATACAGGTCAATATTCTTTTTAAGCTTTGCTCGAAATGACTGTCAGAGTTATCTCAATTTGACTGATTTCTTTCTGTGATTGAATTGGATTCACTGATTCAGCATCATATGAGGAGCGGCGCGCCAAATTCAGCTCAGCATGAAGATTCTACCAATGATAATTTCAATGACTGATCTCTTTCTCTGATTGAATTGGATTTCACTGATTCAGCATCATATGAGGAGCGGCGCGCCAAATTCAGCTCAGCATGAAGATTCTACCTATGATAATTTCAATTTAAGAGGCCTTCTATATCTTGTTTTCCATGAATTGCACGAAAAGAAGTTCATTTATTTCTTACTTTCTAGATTTTGCTTTTGAATGTAGTGAGGCGTTGTTGGTGCAATTTTTTTTAATTAAGAGGGTTTTAATTCTTTGCTGAAAAAAAGAGGGTTTAAATTCTCACTATTATTCATTACAGCCCAGATCTTTATCACCTGGATAATCTTAGGTGCCTTTGGGGTGCAATTTTTAAGTGTTTGCTATGTTAGGTTCTCTGGAGACAACATTGGAGATCAATATTTGAAGCCAAAAATAACATAAGCTTGTTCAAAAGATTTGTATTCAGCTGTTCTTATTTGAAAACTGAATATCAAACACTCGAAGAATTTCACTGCTTTAACTCAGATGAACAATCTGTTGTCAAACCATCCCCCACCCTTTTTTTTAAAAAAAAATAATTTGATCATTAGTAAATTTTTCGATTGAGAGATATGTGATGTGAACCATTTAAATTTTAAGTTCCGAATTAAGAATTTAATTTTAAAATTGTTTGCAAGAGGCAGTGCTGTCTACCCTTACATGTGAACTGAGGTTTTTTCTTAGCTATTGATACCAGAATGATGACTCAAAAGTGTGGTACAGCTCCAGAATAACTTAAAACGGATACAACACGGTATAAATGAATAGACTTAAAACGCATCAAGACTCAGCCTTGCGATATTACAGAGGGTGACAAATTGATACTCTGTTAGCAACTCTCACGTTCATAAATTAAATACACCAAAGCCACCCTGATGATGAGAGGCTCTATCCATATCATTTACGCTACCGCATTAGAATGGAATTGCAAAGCTTACATGACCAAATGAACTTAACAAGAGTGATGAAGCGACCAAACGACTTGGGATTATATTTCCACAGCGAGGCCTAGCGTTTGTGATCAACAAACGTAACTCATGAATGAACCAGGCTCTGATAAAATAGAACCCATCAGAAGTGAGAGTATGAGCGATTACACACAAGACTAACTTTTTTACAGTCTAACTAGTCCTTTGCTGCCCTTGCCTCAAACCCCCCTCCAGGCCGCTTTACAAGGCTGTATGGCATGAATGTCCCAAGAAGTTTATCCCATATGGGAAAAAATGGTTGAGAATAATTATATTTCAACCCTTGTAGTTGATGATGTATGTCGTGATAAGCTGTGTTGTTCTCAAAGAACAAGTGGAAGATATTGCCAGGCAACCAGAGTCCACAGTGATCGTCAACAGTCTTGATGACCGAGAAGCAGAAGAATGCAACGGCTGTTCTCGCAGTCATCCCCGAGACAAGATATGAGATTGCCCCGCCAAAAGTGTCAAGAAGAAGACCCTCAAGAGGATGATTATAAAGGGCTCCTATTGCATAAGGGACAACCAGTCTGTGATGTTGGGAGTGAACATGGCGGTATAAAAATTTGTTTTGATGCATGTATCGGTGCACAAAGTACTGCCATGTATCCATGACAAACATCGCTATAATGATCTGCGCAACTTGAAAGGGAATGGAGGGCTGCACTATAACCCCAGATTCGTTTGCCTTTGAGGTCAACTGCAGAATGTTAGGAAGCATATTAGCCATCCAACAACAGCCAGAGCAGAGAACAGAATGTTCTTAGCATCATGAACTTTGAAAGAAAATTATTATTGGGGCACATGCTGCAGATTAGGCACCCAACAATATTAGGGATCCCTACGTGTATGCCATACAGGGAGGAAAGACAGAGATACAAAATTGAGTACACAAGCTGAGAAAAACGCAATTTTATTTGCGAACTAGCAAACGTTTGTATGTATGTGAAGCAGGACAAATTGAAGAGTTCAACATAGTTGTATATTGGTTTCCATGCAATTTCACAAATAAGACATGTATTTTCAGGTTTTTATTTACTTATTCTGTAGATTATTTGATAATATTGGAATGTGATGGGACCTTCAGAGAATACTTATATCAACGACAGAATAGAGCCAAACAAGTCTACCAACAGAACTACATGACCATAAATAAACCACCTCAAGGAACAGTAGGAAATTTTGAAAAATGCTCAAGCCTTTGAGAGGCTTTCTTTTCTTTTCTCCCTAATTTCATCTGTTATCCATGCAATTTCACAAATAAGATATGTATTTTCAGGTTTTTATTCACTTATTCCGTAGATTATTTGATAAAATTGGAATCTGATGGGACCTTTAGAGAATACTTGCATCAATGACAGAGTAGAGCCAAACAAGTCTACCAACAGAACTGCATAACTATAAAATAAACCACCTCAAGGAGAAGTAGGAAATTTTGAAACATGCTCAAGCCTTTGAGAGGCTTTCTTTTCTTTCCTCCCTACTTTCATCTATTATCCCCCCAACCCAAAAAGAAGGAAAAAACCTCAACATGCCTCCACCCCCCCCCCCCAAAAAACTGGGAAAACAAAATGATTCAAACCCGTTAACAAGAACCACTTCAGCATGTGGATCCATAAAGAATGGGGAAAGGAATACTTAATGCTTAATGAATCATCATTTTCTCTAACGCATGCATGCATGTTATATATGTAGACATGAATAACGCTTGTCTCTACCACATTATCATTTTCAGCAAAGTTTTCCCACTGAATTCAGTTAATTTATAATCCATATACATATTTCATTTTGAGTAGTTCTTCCATGGCAAGTTGTATGCCTGAAGACCCTGATATCCAATTATAATCAGTTTGAACCAGGTATACATGAGTCATTTAAGCTCAACTTCTTGTCTTTTTATAATCCACAGGCTCTCTGTTGATTTTCTTGTATCAGGAATTCAAGGCATTTTGACAATGAGTTCTGTCAACAGTGCTCAAAATACTTTAAGCAGTACATTTGTTTTATCTAATATATAACTTTAGCTTTCCATTATTGAAGTCATTCATTTTACTGGGAGAATAAGAAATGTGGAAAGAAATAAAAAACTTGGGCAATGTTTGATAGGTAGAAAAATACTTTCTAGAAAGCAAATGAGAAATGTAACTATTCCATTTTATTTGTAGGTACATATCCCATTTCCTTTCTAGCAAACATTTTTTCATATACCAAACATTGCCTTAATGTAGACAAGAGTCTAAACAAGAACCAGTGCCAAGCTAAAATTCTTAATGAAATTAAATTAAATTTTCATAAAACATGCTATTACCTACAAATTTGAACAAGTCTTTGTAGAATGACTAACCAAGAAAAGTGCAACCGTCGCCTGGACAAGCTGCTGAAGCAAAACACCCTTCACCACGTCTGAGAGTGGCACCAAATTCTTCTCTTTCTCTTCTCTTCTAGTATGCAACCGATATTTGTCAAGAGGTGGTAGCAACTGATAAAATCCACCATATATCCAATAAAGCACAATAGGTGCAAAGGTGCCCATCACTTCATCGCTCACATATCCTTCCCAGAAAACCATTATCAGTCCAACTTGCAAGTGAAACTAATTAATCTGAAGTAGAAAGACTCAGCCAAGAAACAAGTTCTAAAGTCAAAGCTTCATTGCAGCTGAAGATCTAAAACTAGAGGAGCTCACTTCACTCACAACCTGCAATAGAAAATGACATTTTAGATGAGTAACAATATGTTTCTTGCAGTGAGAAAACGAGAAAATAATTAAAAAAGAACTAAGTTTTCTGCCATAATGTTTGAATGATTAATTAAAAATAACATTAGTAAGGAAAAAATATACTTCTTCTTCCTACGTACACGGCTGTTCTTAAATTTTAGAAATAGACAGTTCAAATCCTAAAGATTTAAGCGAATCCTAGCAAGTTTGCTTTGTTTTTGTTGTGTTTGCAGTAAAATAAATACACATTAAATGCTCAGATCCCCAATAACTACATGTTCCGGAGAATTAAAAATAAGTATCGCGATAAAAATTCCATCGGGCCCCATTGACTGAATAACAGCTACTACTTACCAGGATAACTAGTTGCGGCCAGAAAAGCGCATTGGGATTCAGATCTAGGCCTTGCTTGTAGAGTGAAATAGCGAGTGTCTGTTCCGAGACTCCAAAATCTTCAAACTTTAGTGTTTGTTCCGTTGGTCGTACTTTAGAAATAGACAGTTCAAATCTTAAAGATTTAAGCGACTCCTAGCAAGTTTCCTTTGTTTTTGTTGTGTTTGCAGTAAAATAAATACACATTAAATGCTCAGATCCCCAATAACTACATGTTCGGGAGAAAAAAATAAGTATGACAATACAAATTCCATCGGGCCCCATTGACTGAATAACAGCTACTACTTACCAGGATAACTAGTTGCGGCCAGAAAAGCGCATTGGGATTCAGATCTAGGCCTTGCTTGTAGAGTGAAATAGCGAGTGTCTGTTCCGAGACTCCAAAATCTTCAAACTTTAGTGTTTGTTCGTTGGTCGTACTTTAGAAATAGACAGTTCAAATCTTAAGATTTAAGCGACTCCTAGCAAGTTTTTGTTGTGTTTGCAGTAAAATAAATACACATTAAATGCTCATCCCCAATAACTACATGTTCGGGAGAATAAAAATAAGTATGACAATACAAATTCCATCGGGCCCCATTGACTGGATAATAGCTACCACTTACCAGGATAACGAGTAGCGGCCAGAAAGCGCATTGGGATTCAGATCTAGGCCTTGCTTGTAGAGTGAAATAGCGAGTGTCTGTTCCGAGACTCCAAAATCTTCAGACTTTGGTGTTTGTTCCGTTGGTCGTATTGAAAAGTTTGATGTCTCCGTCCGGCCAGCTTAATCGAAAGGAAGAGACCCAAAAGCGTTTGGAAGAATAGAAAATGATAGGGGGCAGCAATGGTATGATATGAGCATGTATTTGCTCGTTGTCTTATAATCATCCATGACTTTTTCCGCCCCCAGCTTGCCTTTTCGGTGGCCGCAGCCAACGGAACTGCTTATTGCGTAAATATTTGGCTGTTTGAAAAAAAAAAAAAAAACAAAAACAAAGAAAGTGTATGTATTTTTTCCCCCTAGCATAAGTCGGGCACACACTTTGATTTTACTATGAAATTAAGAAAAGCAAGTTGACAAGATCGCGAGATCATTTTACACTCCTTCTATTTTAAATTATAAAATATTTTAATAAAAATAAAATTTTATTAATAATATTTTTTTAATATAATTTTTTTATATATTCTCTCTTTTTAATATTCTTTTATCAATGATGTATTAAATGAAGAGTATTTTTAAATGTTTACATTTTTATCTTGAAAAAATAAAATTGTAAAGTATATTTAATGAACTTTATTAATATGTGAAATTTTGTTTATAAATATCTTATAATTTAAAATGAAAAAAGTACTTTGTTCAGATGGAAAAAAGTTTTCTCCTCTAATTTTTTTCTTATTTTTTTTATAATATAAGAGATAAACTCTCTTGTTAATAGAAATTTTTTTCAAAGACATAGAAGGCAAAAAATAAATCTTTACCAGCTAAAGGTACAGGGTTTCCATTCTAGTTGACTTCATTTTTTATTTCCTATTCATTTCATTATTTCATATCTTACCAAAACAGGAGAGTTAACATTGGGTTTGATTGGTGAAGTAGTTAAACATTGGGACATCATATAATTTAATTATTTCTCCATTCCTTTTTATTATTTCTTTCATTCAATCTGGAGTCATACAACTATTTCATTCACACCCGTGTAATGCATAAGGATCATGATAGTTAGATATATAAGGATTGAAATTTAAATTCCCAATCACTTGCCTAAATGATGGAACTCTTATCATTTATGCAAATTTTATTTGATTCTCTTATTTTTTTTCCTCTCTCTAAACACACGTTTAGAAAGAAGAAATGGAGAAAAATTCTTCTTATTGATTTGATGCATGCTTTTTAATAAATCTTAAATCCTTAAAATCTAATGCAATAGTTACAATGGCTTAAATGACGACGACGACGATTGTTGCCATTGTTGTTGTACAATATACAACATTTGAAAATTTAACGTCACAAAAAAAAAGAAGTTACATGCATTAATTACAAAAAAAAATTAATAAATTATTTGTTTTGAAGGTTGTAGAGCATAGAACTCCAAATTATAACTCTTGACAATAAAAAAAAATAACTCTTAGAAGATTATGAATTTAATGATTTTTTATTTGGTGTAAATATTATATTTTTGAATGTCCATTACCCCAAATTATATGTTAATATACACTATATCATCTTAATGGTGTGTGTGTATTATTTTTATTGTATCTTTTAAAATTTCATTAATTTTGCAACATATGCTACATATAAGAGAATAGACAATATAATTTTGGAATTTTATATTTAATGTCACTTTAATAATTCATAAATAATGAATAACAAATAATTTAATTTTATACCGTTGGGTTGGCGAAAAAATTTTTCAATTTTATAAACTATATTGATATTGATGGTAACAAATCCAAATTTTCTAGTTGACATGAACTCCATAAATCAGTTGATATGAATATGCAACCAACCCTACCAAAGCAATCTCTCTCTCTCTCTCTCTCTGTGTGTGCATGTGAAGCAACGGTTAACACGATCCCCACCAATGAAATTCATTTGCAAACTCTAAAAAGCTTTTGTCACACACATTCATTGCGTTTTTAACTCTTACAAAACTTGCACTCTTCCAACTCAAGATGAATCATCTGTATTTGGACACAAATGGAAAGAAGACCACCCCCGACACTTGAAATTATTAAACAACCTTTGACGTCCCTCTCATGATTCGACTGGTAAAAGGACTGAGAAGTGCACCGTCAACGTTAGCAAACGGTGGCGTACAGTGAAGCCGGCCATTGATCCAAAACCTGTCATTATGATGACCAGACGGCTTTTTGACGGAGAGGCACGTCATCGTTGGCTGTGCTGGTTCTTCCTCCCATTCTGCTTCTTCTTCTCGATTCTCCGCTGCTTTTCCCCGAAGGTATTGAAGATGCCTTTTGATTTGCTTATCGGGTCTTTCTGTCTTTAACCATCAATTTCTTGTAATTTTCGAATCACTTCTTCTGCCGAAAGTTATAGAATTTTCGTGCTTTGGTGGATTTCATGGTATGGATTGAGTGCTTCCCACCTGATTTCGGAGGATTTATGGGGATCTTTGGGTTTGGGCTGCGCATAGTCTTCCTCTAGTGATTCCGAGATCTCTTCCTCTCCCACAGTGGGTAGGGATTAAAGAGGCTCTATGCCTTGTGTATGTCTGTTCATCTTTGTTCACTGTGTCCTTCCACCTTCCGTGTAATTTTTGACAGTATTTAATTTAATTTCTTTTTAGGTAGAAACAGAGTTCATGTCTTGACTCTTGTAGTTTCGGGTTTTTTCGTCTCTGTTGGACTTGCTGATCTGTTTTATGAGCTTGTGACCATTTTCTTCTAGGGTTTTGATGGAGATGTCCAATGGGGATTAATATGGCGAAGGTGTTTTCTTGAATTGTTTCTGCGTTGCCAACATTGAATCAATCAGCAACAATTCTCATCAACGAGATGAGTTGAGTTGGGAGATTCTCCCCGCTCATCATTGTCAATGGAGAATCATCACCCATCTACGCTCTTAACCATGGATTCAAGTGCATCTTCCCACGAGGAACTGGATTTGGAGATGAATGGTCAAATTATACTTTCCCGTCCACCGGATATAAATTTGCCCCTGTCTGCAGAACGCAGCCCGCCTCCGCAGTCATGGAATTCTGACCCGTGTGATATGTTAGATGTTAGTCTTGGTACTCAAGGATATGAGACTGAGAGTTTCCTCACCCCCCTTCCCAAAGGTGGAAAGAAGTGTACGAAGCGAGTTGATAGTATATGGGGAGCATGGTTTTTCTTCAGCTTCTATTTTAAGCCTGCATTGAATGAAAAATCCAAGGCTAAGATAATCAGGGACAGCAATGGCGTTTCTGGGTTTGATAAATCTGATCTTAAGCTTGATGTTTTCATGGTTCAACATGATATGGAAAATATGTACATGTGGGTTTTCCAGGAGAGGCCGGAAAATGCATTGGGTAAGATGCAGCTGAGGAGTTATATGAATGGTCATTCTCGCCAAGGGGAGCGCCCGTTTCCATTTAGTGTTGACAGAGGCTTCGTTCGATCTCACAGGATGCAACGAAAGCATTACAGAGGCCTATCAAACCCCCAATGTTTGCATGGCATTGAGGTTGTTCCTTCACCCAATCTTTCAGGCCTTGATGAGGAAGAGAAGAAAAGGTGGGTGGAAATCACTGGCAGGGATCTCAATTTCACGATCCCACCTGAAGCAAGTGATTTCAGTTCATGGAGAAATCTCCCCAACACAGACTTTGAGCTTGAGAGACCACCTCCCCCAATCAAGAGTGCTTCGAATGCACCTGCAAAGAAACTACTCAATGGATCCGGGCTGAATTTGTCAACTCATCCTTCCAACCACTGTAATGGTGATGCGATGGACCTATCTCCGGTCAATGGCAAGAGGAAGAAAGACTTATTTCCTCATGGGAATGAGGATGATTGTTATTTGGCTGTTAACCCCTCACCCGATCAGATTTCAGATATAGAAATGCATACAAGTGAGCCACACTGGCTTTCTGACTTTACAGGGGTAATGAAGAGTGTCTATGGTCCTGTGACAGCTGCAAAAACTATTTACGAGGATGAACAAGGATACTTGATCGTTATCAGTCTTCCCTTTGTGGATCTTCCGAGTGTGAAAGTTTCATGGAGGAATACTCTGACCCATGGTATCATCAAGGTTTCTTGTGTGAGCATATCTGGGAAGCCATTTATCAAAAGACATGATAGAACATTCAAGCTTACTGATCCATCCTCTGAACACTGCCCTCCTGGTGAGTTTGTCCGAGAGATTCCTCTTTCGACTCGAATTCCTGAAGATGCCAATATAGAAGCATACTTCGATGGGTCAGGATCAGTTCTTGAGATCATGGTGCCAAAACTTCGTGTGGGACCGGAAGAGCATGAAGTTCGGGTCTGCCTTCGCCCTCATCTGGGAGGAAATGATCTTATGTTAACTTAAGATGTGCCCTTACCAAAAACTTGTTAAGGTTGCCAAACTTGGTTTGGTTGGTATGTCATTGTTTTACTTTTACTAACTGTTTACCATACAGTCATAGTGTAGTGCAATTGTGCATGTCAGCGATTAGCCCTCTCTCTACTCTATTGGCATTTGATTGTAATAGTGCTTAAATCTTTGAAAATCGAATGATGATCATTGATTTATACAAAGGAAGTGTTATCACACGTTGTTTTTAGTGGTATGCTTTGGATCTTATGGGCATATATGTTTCTTTGAAACGGTAAATATAAGAAAGATTAAGGGCTTCTTTGACAATTGTTCTAGAAATAGTTTTTTATTTTTCAAAACACAAAAAAAAAAATCTGTATGATAACATTTTTTAGAAAATGTTTTGAACAAAAACAAAACCAAATATTTTCTTAAAAAATAGAAAAACAAAAATATCTTTTAAATATTTTAAGATTATTGTTATGAAAAATCGAGAAGAATGCAAAAAAACTCATGTTTTGTTCTCTCAACATATTTTAAAAAATTTCAATTCTCAAAAAAATTATAAAAAAAAGTTTCAAACAGACTCCAGTCATTTTTACAGTATTGTTTCTGTTTTTCTCCTGTTTTGCCAGAATTTCCGTTTTTCTTCAAAGATAACTTGCTGCAATATTGCATAATTTTGATTTTAATTGTAAATTAATAATTTATAGATTGTGAATGATGTGTAATGTTACTATTTTTGGGTTTACGGTGAGGAAGCACTGATTAACGATAACTTGTACACCAAATGATGATAATGGTGATGATTATTTGGATACAGGGTTTGGTTAAGAATCGTCAGAAGTTTGATACTATTGGCTCCGGGTACGTTGCTCCGTATGAATATGCGTCGTTTGTGTCTGTGTGGTGTAGTGTGGTGTGGTTGGTTCACAATGTGATGACCGGTACGGTCCACTATGTCTCTGTGTTCAAGAATTGATGGTGTAATTTTCATCGTGGGATTGGTTTTAGTTCTTACTTAGGTTTTTAGTGCCTTTGTTAGACGTTATTATTCAGCTGGTTTTGTATGTTTGTGTATTTGTTCTTTTCAAATATGGAGCAAAGAAGAAAATAAATGAAAGTTAACTCATTATCCAACTTTTGACTTATTTCTGATCAAGTCTAATAGTTTGTCTGATCTAAAATATAAGTCCAGCCTACCTAGCTGCCTTGAGACCAAGGAAAAAAAGTTAAATGAAAGTTAACTAATAAATTTTAATCAAAAAAAATTAACTCAATAAATTTGTTAAAAATTACTCAGCTAAAAGTTAAATGTAAGGCTCATTTAGTAATATTTAAGTCATTGAATTTCCAAATGTTTGATACTATTGGCTCCGGGTACGTTGCTCTGGGTTTTGAAAAATTTCCAATTCCATTTAGCTTAGATGTTAATAAAGGAATGCTAGATCTTCGTGTAAATTAATGGAGAAATCAAGTTAATCATTGAATTAAGCAACGTGAAGGAATTTTGCAGTTATGAGAAAAGATGGAGCATACTTGAAATTAATTGGTTTAGAAAAATTAAATTATTCTCGAATTTAATAGAAGCAGTGGCCAATATTTAAAAAGTTTATCAAAAATCACATCTTGTCTATGAAATTGTAAAAGATAAAAAAGAGATGATTATGCGAGATTAGTATGTCCTCTATGACCAAGTTTTTAAGGAATCTAAATGTCTGTTTGGATAAAGAGAAAACGCGTGTTTTGGATTTAAAATTAATTTTTTCTGTCAATTTATCCAAATAGTAGAAAATGATCAAAAATCGATTATGGATTAAAACGCTTATTTTTCCAGAAGCTCCCTCCATCAGCTTTTTCCCAAAAGATTGTCAAAAATGTTGAAAAAAATTACAAATACAAGCCCAAGAAAAAATTAAAAAAAAATATATAATTTAATAAAAATAAAATCAAACTCTCTTCTTTTTTTTTTTTCTTAATAAAAGTTAAACTTTGTATCTTCAAAAAATTGATATCTGATATTTAAACATTAAATTATATAGTAATTTATATAGTTAAAAATTAATTCTGATTAAATTATCCAAACATATTCAATTATATTAAAATTAATTTTAGAAAAATAGTATCCAAACACATTACGTTATAACATAATCAATTATGATTAAAATCTACCACTTAATCAATTATTTTCATAATCTATTATGTCCAACTGAAATCTAAACGGACCTTAATACTGATTTGCTTTTATGTAATGCGCATTACTCTTATCAATAGACAAGTGTTTTTATAATACCTCTTACAAAATATTTATTTATTACTCTTTTGATTAAAAAATATAAAGTATTTTTTTAAAAGTTAGATGTTTAAAAATATTAGATATTTTAAATTTTTTAAAGTATAATTATTATTTTTTTATAAAAGTGTCCTTATAAATAATGATTTTATATTTATTATAAGATGTTTAATAGGGATGAATAAAAAAATAAAATTAATTTAAAAATAAATAATTATTTTATTAAAAAGTGAGATTTGATTAAAAATATTTTATATTTCTAAACTGAGAGAGTATAAGATATGATTTTGCCAATGAACCCACTACCCATCAATAGTTCCTATAAAATGTTTATCAATAGAGAGGTGTTTTTATGATACCTCATCGTTGCATTTTTTTCTACCTTTTTTTGCCCCTTATTGTAGTAAAAAAAAAAAAAAATAGTGCGTTTGGGGTATTTGACTGTAATTTTAAAAATCATGGTCCACAGACGAAATTGGATGTGTTTCTGCGTCCTTGATTGTCACATCTCCAATTTTTTCCTCATTCACTCTTTCCATATCGGACGAATGCGATCATACGCAGCTGTAACTACATTAAACCTCGTGCGACCCTTAAACCCTGCCGTTGAATCACCTTATTGATCAAAACGTATTGCCCAAGCAAACGTATCTGCTGATCTCACTGTCGCGGAATGATCCCCCCTCTCTCTCTTCGCTCGCTTTTCAACGAAATCTCGTTCTCACTGGCATAAGCCACCCGCCTTCGCACTGTTACTCGTCTGACCACAATACTATGCCCAAATTCAAAGCTCAGTTCCTCTCTCTCTAGAATTGGAAAACTTCGCCTCCCCTTCCCCTCAAGGGGGTTTCATTCGGAATCCCCGATTTTGCATACTCATCTTTCGATTCTTCGATTGAAGGATTAGAGTTTTGTTTTGAGATTTTTTTCCCTTTTTTTCCTAGCCAAAAAGTCGGATTTTTTTTTCCCGGGGGGGCTTCCTAGGTTTCTTAGGGAATTTTTCAAGATGGGTTTGGAGTCAGACTCCGAGTGTTTCAGCAAAATGATGGCTTCGATGCCGGGGTTTCGCTTCCACCCTACGGACGAGGAGCTGGTCATGTATTATCTGAAGAGGAAGATGTCTGGGAGGAAACTGAAGCTCGACGTGATCCGGGAGACTGACGTCTACAAGTGGGACCCAGAGGAATTGCCTGGTATCTGCTTCGCTCTCCTGGATTCTTTTTTTCCCCGTTACCCTCTTTTCCCCCCAGCGATTGTGCAAGCGTTGACTTGATTCCCTGAAATGAATCTTGTGTTTTATTCGGTGTTTTGATTCACTGTTTGGTTTGATCGTGTAAAATTTAGATTAGGTGTAATTTTAGATCTTCATACTTGTGTGAACTGGGTTGAGTCAGATACCTGCACTCAGAATGGATTAGAAACTAGAATAGGAAGCGATTTAGGTTATACTGTGAATGTGTTTTGCTGACTTGGTGTTGGCACGTTTCTTTCTGCCCTGGTTAACCCCCCCTTTCCCCTCTCCCTAATTCCCACTGGATTTGCTTGACAAATCCTTATCCTTTGTTAGTTCTTCTTACGTGTCACGTGAGTTTAAATAATTTCATGGTCGATTCCTGGTCCCTTGTTGTGAGGATTTGTATTCACTATTCCGTTTAGGAATTTAGCCATCTGGACAAAGGCTTCCTTGCAAAGACAAATCTAAGTTGTCCAAAAGGATCACATCCTCGGCTTTGAGGGAATTAGGATCGATCCTGAGCACAGAAGTTGTGGTTTTTGCATCTTTTTTTGGCTAAAGTTTGCGGTCGCTCAATGAATGCTTAGAAAATTTAGATAGGCTACGATGCTACTATGTTTCATCTTTCGTATCTGATTCCTCTTGTAACATTTTATTTTAAAATTACTTGCATCTGCTTGTTTTCTCTATTTTTAACTTCCTCTTGTTTAATTTCTTGTAATTTAAAATATTTTGCAGCGCAATCTGGACTAAAAACTGGAGATAGGCAATGGTTTTTTTTCAGTCCTAGAGATAGGAAGTACCCTAACGCTGCAAGGTCAAGTAGAGCAACGAGACATGGGTACTGGAAAGCTACAGGAAAAGATCGTAATGTGACATACACTTCCCGAACTGTTGGAGTTAAAAAGACACTGGTTTTTTATAAAGGTAGAGCACCTAATGGTGAGCGGACTGATTGGGTTATGCATGAATACACCTTGGATGAACAAGAGCTTCAAAGATGCCAAGGCATTAAGGTATCACTTTAAGTGGTCCTTTAGTATTGGTTTATTCCATTAGTAATTTTTTATCAAAAAAATCTGTATTAATAAATTAGCCTTAACACGAGAACAACATTTTATTGCTGATGATGGGCTTTTTTATGTACATGAACAGGACTATTTTGCACTCTACAAGATTTACAAAAAAAGTGGACCTGGCCCTAAAAACGGTGAACAGTATGGTGCACCATTTAATGAAGAAGAGTGGGCAGATGATGATTTTGGAGATTGTAATATAACCTGGGCTGACTTTGAAGTTCCAACACAGCAACGTGATGGTGTTACTTCTGTTGATACTGTCAATGTTAATGGTCCATTGCAGCCGTTGCTTGATGATGAAATTGAGGAGATCATGAAGAAACTTATGGATGATGAGTCTCTCCACGAACAGCAGAATGTGAATGGTCGTCCTGCCTTACCTCCAGTATGTGATGTTTCACAAAAATTATATTCCAGTACTTTTATCACCTGTAATTCTGAACAATGAATCCTTGATAAGGCCTTGTGATGTCATGCAGTCCATATACCTTAATGTGATAAGGCCTTCTGTCATACTTTTATTGTTTGTAAAATACTTTATCTGCTTTGTTTCTTCCCTTTTGTGGTTGGGTGGAGTTATATCTTCGGGCACTGTAAATGCTATTGTCAGCACTTTAGCCTAATGTTCTCATGAATTTTTTTTTTATGTGATTTTTACTTCTATATACTATGTCCTGTTAGGAGTCAAGCGTAGTCTCAACATGAGAAAGCTTTGTTACTTACTGCTGGTCTTTCTCCCGCCTCCCCCCTCATTTCTTACTAATTGTATAAAGCTGATGATTATGTTGTTATCTCATCTTGTCTAATCTGGACTTGATTGTTGAGAAACTGATAGTTTTTTCATTGAATTATGTAGGGGGTTGCTGAGGAAACACAGAATGGCGTGGTTGATCAATTCTATATGGAAGTCATGTTTCCTGAGCCATTGGGACTGTTTCACTCAAGTGGTGTTCAGCAATGTGGCGTGGATCCCAGTTCTGACTTCCCTCAGTCAGCTATTTCTCACCTGCAAACGCCTGAAGCTCCTAAGTTCACTTCTACCCTTAACACTAAAGGGGCAGAAACTGGCTTGTGTGAGGATGACTTCTTGGAATTGGATGATCTCATTGGTCCTGAACATGCATTGCTAAACATCAATAAGCCTGTGGAGAACCTGCAGTTTGAAGATGGATTAAGTGAACTTGATCTGTACCATGATGCGCAGATGTTTCTTCATGACATGGGGCCGATTTCACATCCGTATATGAACACTCTGGATAATGCTATTGTAGATCAAAATTATGAGCTGCTGTCAAATCAAGAAAATGCAAATCAAACTGGTGAACTCATGATGCATGCTCAAAGAAACATCCTGCATCCAGCAGAACACGTCAATGTTTCTACACATCTGCCAACATCAGGTATATTCAGCAGTACAAGATACAGGGTTGGTGGTCTAGCTGTACTGCCAAATAATGATTTTACTGTCTTTGATTTGGATGAAGATG